CCCCAAAACCCCAAAACCCCTACTTTAATATTGAAAGTAGTAAGAGGTAATGAATTAATAAAAATTGTAATTATTATATAATTGTAATAATGGTAGGTATTTTTTGATCAAATCATAATTAACTATTCTTCAATCATACTTATTCCTCAGTTAATTATGCTTTAGCATCAACTCCACGTTGTCTGTTTCTCATTGATGCAGGGATAAATGCTTTAGCTTTAGCTGGTTCCTTCATTTCTTTATCCTATTACTCATGCTATACGTTCACTTATTAATTAGTATTAACTTCCAAGGTAGCATCCTAATTTTCTTATAGCTTTTTTTCTTCGTTATCATCAATTCTAACATATTTGTTGTTGCCATAATAATTTGATTCAATCTAATATGTATCCTCCTCTTCTTCTATGTATCCTCTCTCTGGCTGCTTTCTTTTGGCTTTCAACATATCTATATCGAAATTAATATGCATAAAAATCTACTTATTTCAATCTTAGGAGGAGCAACTCTATTGTAAGACTCTCCAGCATATTTCATGCTATTTGAGATTGCCTTCTGCATATTTTATTCCTTTTAGAGCAACTTCTACTCTCTTTTATTTAGTGTTTCCTAATCTTCTTCATCCCCTTGATTAATAGCATCAATTTAATTAGTCTCTATCATATCTAGCGTTTCTTTGATACTGAAAAATTTCTTTGATCTACATTGCATTCCATTAGTTTAATTTTGAGAAATCTTTTATAATTATTGCTTTTCTAGTGGCTTTTTAGTTTCATAAATATCAATGTCTTCATCTTTATTATTTGCTAAATCATTATTTTATTCTTCATCAGAACTTGAACTGCTAGCATAGCCTTTCATCAGATAACTCAACATGCTTAATTAGTTCTTAAAATATTAGAAGTTTTTATGAATGCGTAATTTTTAAAAGTTTAAATATTTAATCATATTTAGGAATAATAAAGTAGAAGAATATTGAGGTATATTTAAGAATAGAATTTGAGAATCATTAAATATTAAAAGGAAAATATGAGTTTGATTGCAAAGATTTCACAAGCTACAGGTGTCCCTCAATAGAAAGTGCTCCAATATGCTTTAGTTCTCTTAGTTCTGTTTGTGGTGTTCGGTGTCGGATCTTCAATCATCACTAACCTTATCGGAGTTGCTTACCCAGTATTCATGAGTTTCTACGCTCTTGAGTCAGATGGAGGAGATGACGACAAACAATGGTTGACCTACTGGGTTGTATTTGGTATATTCACTATTGCTGACCAATTCGCCGGATTCATTTTATCATTCATCCCATTCTACTATGTACTCAAGGTTGCCGTCTTGATCTGGCTATTCCACCCAAGCACTCTTGGAGCAATTACAGTATATGAGACCTACATCGCACCATTTTGGGCTCAAAACAAACAATATGTTGAGTAATTGGAGAAGGGAGTCGAGAAGGCTGTCTAGGACAATGTAGATTTCGTAAAGAGCAAAGTTAGCAAACATGATTGAGAAGTTAGATAAGAGAATAATGATCAGGTGCTCAGCGCATTTACAGATCCTAAATGCAAAGATACCTAATAATTATTAAATGATAATAGAATTCAAATGTATATATTCTTCTATCACTATCACTAACTAAGACTTATATTACCTACTATCTACGTCGTCATCATTACTCCTTTCTTTCAATATTTTATATCATGGGGTTTTGGGGTTTTGGG